GAGTCCTTCCCCATTTCCCGCTCGTCGAGTGCGCCCGAGCCCGAGACAACGGAGGATTTCACGCACGTCAACAAGAGGCATAGTTCGTCGTTCTTTGCCGTGACGTCTTCACCGAAGGCCATACCACAGGCCGGGTCACCAGGCAAATTTGGAGAGATCGACGTTCCTGACATGGCACTTGATGCGTCACATCATACTTACCCGCCGTCTCCATCACGATCGCCCTCGACTTCCGACCTCCGCACAACGCCTACGCCTACCAGGGAGGCCACTTGGAGTGTGGGCGTCCCGTCGTGGCTGCGGATGCCCTCTCGTAGGATGTTTGGTAGCCCTATCTCCACCACACGACTTGGTGCCGAGCATGCAGCAACGGCGCCGCTGGATCTTGGTCCGCCTGTGTCCGAGGTTGTGACTTCTACGACAGGCTCATCCGGCAGCCGGCATGGTAGTGGTGCGGGTTCTGGAGACTACGGCTTCTTCAGCATATTGGAAGCGCCAGAGGCCCTACATGATTCAGATTCAATAGAGAAGTTCCACACTGCATTCGCATTTGATGATAAGGAGACACTTCTCGGAAGTGAGTATTGTTTGGTTCTAAACCGGTCTGTACCCGACTGACGGCTCGTTGACAGTTTTCCCCGGATATATCTTCCGGCTATTACCAGTGTATGGCCGGCTATACATCTCATCTAATTACCTATGTTTCAAATCAAGCGGTCCGCTCACATCGAGGACAAGAGTGGGTTATTGTTGTCCTACCGCCGTAGAATTGCGCTGAAGAACTCTAGATGATCCTACCCATCCGAGATATCCTCTCCGTTGAGAGATCGAAAGCATTCCGCTTCGGGCATCACGGTCTTGTAGTGATCATTAAGGGACACGAGGAGCTCTTCTTCGAGTTCTCTGACGAGGATCGTATATCTGCGTTCATCGCGCTACTGGATCGACAAATAGAGGACGTGCGACGCCGGCCCCTTCCTGGCGATGTACAGAGTCCGAACAGTGCTGCCGAAGCCCTTATTCTCGAAGAGATCGGGCCGCGGAAGCAGCTTGGCTCCAGCTCTGAGCATGATGCGCCGCCAGCACCTGATGCGATGACAGAGTCGCTTCCTGCAGTCATGTTTATGTCGAACTCGTCGACGTTCCTCACATTCAAACCCAAGCAGTCGCTACACTTCACATTCCTGACCATAGGATCAAGAGGCGATGTCCAGCCATACATTGCCTTGGGTAAGGGCCTGCTTGCCGAGGGCCATCGAGTGCGTATTGCAACCCACGGCGAGTTCAAGGAGTGGATAGAATCTGTGTGTTGGACCTGTTGCGTCTCATAGGGACTGTGCTGACCTTAGATTATAGCACGGCATTGAGTTCGGCTATGTCGGTGGCGATCCAGCGGAATTAATGCGCATCTGTGTGGAGAATGGGACATTCACAGTTGCTTTCCTCAAGGAGGGCATGTTGAAGGTTGATTTTTCCACGACCATCTTTGATAGTACCTGAAGTTCCGATCGTTCTTCAGTTCCGCAGCTGGATAGACGATCTTCTGAAGACATCATGGGAAGCCTGTCAGAACACAGACGTCCTAATCGAGAGTCCGAGTGCCATGGCTGGTATTCACATCGCGGAGGCCTTGAAGATCCCATACTTCAGAGCTTTTACTATGACGTGGACCCGTACCAGGTCAGTCCAGGTACCTGACTTTGTCCTCCTTTCTGATGCATCATACTTTCTCGATAGAGCTTATCCGCACGCATTCGCCGTACCAGAGCACAAGGCAAGTAAAATTTCATGCTGCCGTATAAACTGATTCTGATATTCAGAAACTCAGATGGGTGGCAACTATAACTATATGGTATGTCAGATGCCATTATGCAGGAGGATTTACATGACTTACATCCGGACACTTCAGTCATACGTTCTCTTCGACCAAGTTTTCTGGAGAGGCACCGCTAGTCAGATCAACCGCTGGCGAAGAAATACTCTTGGATTGTCAAGTACGAGTCTCGACAAGATGGAACCCCATAAGATCCCATTCCTGTACAACTTCAGCCCTACGGTCGTCCCCCCGCCTCTCGACTGGCCTGAATGGATTCGAATCACGGGTATGTAGCCATGTTACTCTATTCGACGCTGCGCTAATGGGCGTTAGGCTACTGGTTCCTGGATGATGCTGACGTCGGCTCAAAGAAGTGGGCCCCCCCTCCGGATCTACTAAAGTTCATCGATGAGTCCCGCGCTGCAGGCAAGAAGATCGTATATATAGGCTTTGGGAGTATCGTAGTGCCGGACCCCAAGGCGATGACAAAATGCGTCATCGAAGCTGTTGTGCAGAGTGGTGTTCATGCCATCCTTTCGAAAGGCTGGTCTGATCGACTTGTCAAGAATGTTACCGAGGCCTCGGTGCCCGAAGAACCGCTTCCGAAGAGTATATACCAGATCTCCTCGATCCCGCATGACTGGTTATTCCAGAGAATTGACGCTGCATGTCACCACGGAGGCGCAGGTACTACAGGTGCCAGTCTGCGAGGTACGTGCCACTTTTCTTGTTTAGGCAACCAACCCTACTCACGACCTTGCCGCGCACAGCTGGTATTCCAACAATCATAAGACCATTCTTTGGCGATCAGTTCTTCTGGGCAGATCGCGTAGAGGCTCTAGGCATCGGGTCTGCTGTGCGGAAACTCACCGTCGAGCATCTGAAGCAGGCCCTCGTTACTGCAACCACTGACGCAAAGCAAATCGAGCGAGCGAAGAGAGTTGGTGAACATATCCGCTCCGTAAGTGATTCACTTATAATCGGGATAATACTCATATTGATCGCCTCATTAGGAGGATGGTGTAGCAACGGCTATTGAAACGATCTATCGCGACTTGGAATACGCAACGTCTCTCATCAAAGGCATTGCAGCACGTGATTCCCACCCAGATGACTTCGACGCGGAACATGCGACTATTCGTGAATTTGGTCGACCATCCACTCCCGAGCGCTCACGAACAGGCTCACAAGCCAGCTCCATGAGCTCTCCGCGAGGAGCTACCAGCGATTGGAGTGTAGTATCTGATCAAGAGGAACACCGTCCCTAGACCATTCGCTATGTTGCTTTGCTATCTAGACCCCACCCCGATGCGCCATCGTGATGGTGTATGTTGTATTGGATATTGATGTTCCTGTAATCCTATAAACAGCATTCCTTGCTCCATGATATCCCCTTGCACAGCTATTTTCTTCATGACCATATCCTATTCACAATGATAACTTCCCATATGTGCCATAATCTTCTCACATGGTGGTATTGCCCTCTGTGTAATGCTCGTCGAATACCCTTTTGCTGAATTGCCCGAAGGTTTCCGTCGCCATGAGTTGCTGATCAGTATTCGGTTGCATGAACAGCGCGAAGGTCTCGCGTGATATTTCCTCCATCCCCTCACCGGCTCCCACACGGACGCAATGAGGGGTAGCGCGCAGCTTGCCTGCAGTCGCGAGCTCAAGAGCCTCGCCAGTTTGAAACGCTAAGCAGTCGGCTGGTATAGATACTTTGGTCAAGGCTCCACCGCGGGTCCGGATGTATAGACCAGATGTCGGGGACGGGGGCGGAACAACCGCTGGATCTCCACCAGGTTGCTGACGCAGGAACATGGCCTTTCATACGATCTCACGTTGGTGCGAAGCGATTTCAAAAGCTGTTAACTACTCACCGAACACAGACCCGTCAACAGTGAGTGGTCCAGGTGGAAACCACACCAACTATCTACAGGCTCGTCCTCGGTTGGGAGCGGCGAGTCGGGAGAGGGTGGGAAGTAGTGCAAGAGACGCGCTTTGACTGTCTGGGACGACCTGATGAGTCCTGCGAGGGAAAGGGAGGAATCTGTGAGGTGCGACGAAGCTGTAATTGCGTGCAGTGTTGGCTATAATCGACGACCTCAAACGGTTCGTAAGTGCTTACCGAATGGCTGGCAAGCAACGGCCAGCTCGCCACCGACTTTGAAGACAAATCTATGACAAGTCACGGTGAGTACGCCTCGACCTGCTGATGCCGCCGTGTGAGTTACCTTCCTAACTCCTTGAAGGCCTGCTCAAATCCGCTGATTGCTTCGATGTCGCTGCTAGGCCCTAATGTTATTCGTCAACAAAGTAGCCACCCTAGGTCGGAATCAATCTCACATATGTTTTCACCATAGTATTCGGGATAGGCTTCCCGTTCTGCAGGAGATACTTTGGGACTATCCACTACAGGATTCGCGTAGTACGATCCCTTCAGGGTATCTTGCCCCGTTGTCACCAGACTCGTCCGATAGCATCGTAACCACTGTGCTCACCAGGCTTTCCATTCATGATCTCCTGCGACATTTTCAGAGCGGTTCAGAAATGCCACGACTTAGGCAGCGGAGAATATCAAACCTTCCCGTGGGACCATCCGAAACTATGTGGGTCACTTAATCAGTTACTTATCGGACGCAGATAGACTCAACTTCCGAACCTATATCTGCTTGCAGGATGTGCATATCGTTCCCTCAAATCAAGAGGAAGGTTCGCAAATCGGTAGGCAAGCTTCAATAGCCTTTCTCTCGAAGTCTTGTATGTCTCCGGTAAGTCACGGACTATAATGATGCCCAAAGAATCGGGGTTCGAGCCGAACGCCTTGTCTGCAACCAGCGCTCAGCCATTCTATAGGCCAATTCCAGAGGCTGCAGAGTGATACGCACCTATCGATGCGGTCAGCGATAGTGGTGAGGATAAGAGAGTTGGATATGAGATGGACACAGCTCCTTCCGGAGTGTATTCTATATTCTCCATGACGTTCGTGGCTGAGATCTGGGCGAAACCACGCAGTAGCAAACTTTTGGAGCTGTGTGCTGCCTTTGCAGCACGTAACAAAACAGACATTGGATTTAGAATCAAATGACCTGAGCCGGGATTCTTTCTATGCACATCAGGCCCGGTCTATCTTGCGGACATCGACAGCACCGAGAATCTCATCATCACGTGAGACACTGCCACCGCCCGCCTAGCTCAATCGGATAGAGCGTCAGACTCTTACTAGCGGGCGATCTGAAGGCTGCGAGTTCGACCCTCGCGGTGGGCTAGTTGTTTTCCTTACTTTTTCAGTCTCCGTTTCCGAGCGCTGCAGCGCCGCATAATATGGGCAACACTAGACTGGGTTTACGTCCGCATAGCTCTGCGCCCGGACCTCGCCGAGTAAAAAATGCACAGTATCATATGTTTTGATACAAGTACAGCTATGATACAAGCGGACTACAAGTATCGCACTCGTAACATTACTATTGTCTTCTCTCATCGACGAACGAGTGTCTAGAGCGCCATTGACTATCGAAACATTCATATCCACCTTAATATGCGACCTTCGCGGTCAAGCCCTCAAGCTCACGCTCATAGCAGCGGTGCTGACTAATCGCGTACGCGAAGTTGGTCACGAAGCCCTTTTCGCCCTGCGCGATCTTGAAAGCGTCCGCAGCGACCGAGCCTGCGTCGTACACGCCGGTAGTAACGACGCCGTATGAGTTCGTGACCGTGTCACTCGCCAGGTTCGTCTGGAGCTTCACGCCCGGAAGCTGCACTGCCTCCTGGAGGAACGTCACGCCTACAATGCCGCCACGATTAGCCATTCTGCTCACGTAACGGCAAGCGATACATACCGTCGCCGATAGCGCCAATAGGCTTGCAGTGGCCGAACGCCTCGCGCACCCAGTGAATCGTGCGTCCGTTTTCGGCCAACTTCTTCGCGTGCTCGGCGCCACTCGGGATAATGAGCGCATCAAAGAGCGTGCTGCGCTGGCCTTCGTAATGGTGATCCGCCTGCAGGCCCTCACCCGTCCCGGGTTTCTGACCAGCGGCGTACACCTTGCCACGGCGAGGGCCGATAATGTAAGTCGTCGCGAGGCCGACTTTGAAGGCGGCACGGAGAGCTTTGACCTCGGCGATATCGAAGCCATCCGCGAGCAGGATGGCAATGCGGCGCGAGATGATAGTGGGTTCCTTCGGTGCATAGTAGGGTTGCGAGAGCGTGGGCGTCGAATGGCCATGATTCTGGCGAGCAGGCTGGTCGGGCACATCGCCGCCGACGTTGATGGCGACTTGCTTGGCGAGATTAAAATCGATGTTATTGAGGATTTGCGTGTAAGTCTTGTACACAACCGGGTCATCGCAGTGACTCAGCTCAAATGAAACGGCGTTGATTATATGCTGCTTCTCGTAATCCGTGAGGGAATTGTAGAAGAGCTGCGCGTGGCTGTAGTGCTCCTGGAACTTCGCTGACCGGACACGTTGTTTGATGCCTTCGACTTTCAGTGGGAAGCTGGGACATTGTCAGACAGCTGCACTGCATGTATGCACTTCTGTACTCACTCGGCGTATCCGCCATCGGTCCTAGGCACAGGCGCACCAATGCCATGACGGTTCGGCCAGTAGTTAATGCTTCCTTTGTTGATCTTGTGTCTCATCTGACCATCGCGCTGGAAGTTCATCACCGGACATACTGGACGGTTGATCGGTAGCTCCTCCCAGTTGGGCCCCAGGCGAGTGATCTGCGTGTCGAAGTAGGAGAAGTTCCGGCCCTGGAGTAACGGGTCGTTGCTGAAACCGATACCGGGGACGACATGAGCCGTGCAAAATGCAATTTGCTCCACCTCAGGGAAGAACTCGTCAACGGTCTTGTTCAGAGTCATCTCGCCGATAATTTCGATAGGGACGAGTTCCTCGGGCCAGACCTTCGTGGCGTCTAGAATGTCAAAATCGAAGTCATGCTCACGCGCCTCGGGGATAACTTGGATCCCAAACTTCCACGTCGGAAAGATGCCAGAATTGATGGCATCCTCAAGATCTTTCCTGTGGAAGTCTACCAGAGCAGTGCGTTAGCACAAATTGGAGCGCGTACACTGGTGTGAAGTACAAACTGACCGGGGTCTTGTCCACCGATTTTGAGCGCTTCGTCCCATAGAAGACTATGCACGCCAAGCTCGGGGATCCAGTGGAACTTAACGAAATGACGCTCGCCCTTAGCGTTCATGAGCATGAATGTGTTGACTCCGAAACCTTGCATCATTCGAAGCGAGCGCGGAATGGCGCGGTCCGACATCACCCACATGATCATGTGGGCAGCTATGCAAATGTCTGAGCACAAATGTCCAGATTGACAGATATGAAAGCGCATACATTCCGGCTGGAGACCGACGAAGTCCCAGAAATTGTTATGGGCGCTTTGTCCCTGTGGGACTTCGTTGTGAGGCTCCGGTTTGACGGCGTGGACGAAATCCGGGAACTTGATGGCATCCTGGATGAAGAAGACAGGGATGTTGTTTCCAACAATGTCCCAGTTGCCCTCGGGCGTGTAGAATTTGGTCGCGAACCCACGAACGTCGCGCACAGTGTCCTTAGACATGAGTCAGACCGTTGTTAATGCCGTGATCTAGCGCCAGATACGTACGGCGCTGCCTCGGGAACCTTGTACGGTGCTAAACCGCACGAAAGTTGGAGTAACCCTTGACGGATCCGTCAACACCGGGGCGTAGGTGTACTTGGAGGCACGGGCGTCGTAAACCTTGAAGAATCCATGCGCCCCGGTGCCGCGAGCATGGACAACGCGCTGATGTAATCAAGATGTCAGTGTCAAAGTAGCTTGGGTATTCTAAGAAGCTGACTCGCCTCAGGGATGCGCTCGTGGTCGAAACGGTGGATTTTCTCCCGCGCAATCTAGAGACAAGATGAGTGAGCGTCGACGGATCCCTGTTGAGCTGATAGACCACTCACTTGGTCTTCGAGCAGTGCAGGACCAGTGCGGTCGCCATCAGACACCTTCAGCCTGTACGCAGCGACAATGAGCGTCGTCCGGAATGCGCGTGGATGGAAAGCCGTACCAAGTATCGGTATCGGCAACAAGAAGACCATGGTCAGTGTTGAGACCCTTTGTAGGTCTCTCGTACGGATCAACGATGTCGCCGTAGAGGTCCGAAACCTTGGCGGTGACGCCTGTGGCTGCGGTGAAGGCTTGCTTGATGGTGCCGGTGAAAGAGCCCGACATGTTCAATGTGGGCGAGGAAAGGAGAACCGGAGAGCCGTTCGGAGCAAGCGACGTGCATTATATGTCGGACAAGGCTCGTCAAGAGACACCAATGGACGGGCACATCGACTACGGTACGCAGACGTCATACTGACGCAGAGGGCACCTGCCAATAAAGGCAATGTGCGGCGGCGATCGCGGTCGCCCAGTGCGAGTCTCCTCGCATCCCCGCCTTCCTGACTTTGCTATGGAGCAGGTCCAATCCACGCGCTCGTGTGGTGCTCTCGGCCGTCAACCGCAAAAGTGCCACTGGCCGGTGGCCCTACGGAAGCGCCAGCCACAGCTAGTAGTATCATGGATGATGTCGACACCGACGGAGCGCTGCAGTGTCGCTGCCGACGGAGCCATCTCTAAGTAGCTGGCCACGGTACTGAGGGCCAAGAACAATCCTTCAGAGTGCTGTCATCCAGCGCCAGTGCTGAATCGCAACGTCAGACTCGAGAACACAGTGACGACAGCAAACTCTGATGGGTGCGGACGTCACTCGTGTCCATGGGCCGAGGGAGTATGTTGAACCGCACATAGTCTTCCCTTAGGCAAACTTCTATGTGATCTATTAGCTATGGGGATGACGATCACGACGAAGCGCACCCAAGTCACCACAGCAGACGGCTGCCTAGTCAAGTGTTCGCAAATGATAATAATGATAGCGTCTTCAAGCACGGCACAGAACTAGGGCGCGCATCATAAGAGAGGGAACAATACCCGGGTGATTGGCACCGCAGAGAGTAGAATGCGGCGTTGCATGTCGCAACGGAAGTCTACTAAGCGTCCCAGTTACAAACTACTAGTAAGGTTGGCCTCATCCATAAGCATCAAACGCTGCGTGACAATGTGTGACAGAGCATTCAAAATTGAAAGGAAATCTGTAGACCCACGATCTCGGAATTTTAAAACCAACAACTTGCCTGGTGAGAGTTATTCTAAAGATTTTTGGTTGTCGATTTTTGAGTTTCTGGCCCGTGCAATTGAAGATCGATTTACGGGATAAGACGGTGCCTATCTGGTGTGACAGGGCACACCTCTTTTGGCAGGAGAGAACGTGACGTCACATGGATAAGTCCTCTGTCACGTTGGATGAGTATGGATGAGGCCAACCTTAGTGTTCTCTGCAGCCAAGCGAGACCGTGTTGCCAACAGACTCTTGCGCAGAAAATTTGCAGCTCAGCCCAGGCTCTGTAACGGTACATGCATCGCTGTTGAAACATATATTGCATTCAGAGGACGTCATATTTGGGAGGTGTAGTGATGCGCGAATATGTACGTTATGTATCAAAATCGAGAACAGGAGAATAAATAGTAGTAGTGGTTTGCATGTGGAAATCAGTCAACAGACAAACGTCTATGAGAAGAGGAGACGGTAAATGAAAAACGGAAGGCGGTATGAGACCAGACTCGGATATACGGGACACCAAGTGAAGAAAGAAAAGAGCCACCGACGGAACAGGAGCGCACGGAAATTTCTACACGATGCATGTTCAGAGGGGGGTGTGATATGCCCGAAGCGGCGTCATCAAACGAGTACGAGACCACATATGTAACTCGCCCAACAAACGCGTCACCACGAACACGGACGTCGTCACAGTGAGGACCCAGTCGACAGACTTGCGATAGACCGACCAGCCTACACCACTCGGACGGACGCGGGTTTTGCGCGAGCTGCACCTCAGAATGAGCAACGGAGAATCTTCAGGGATAGAACAGACATACGCAAACGGGATCAAACCGAAACGAGTGTATTGAGCCATCCTTTAGTCAGTGCCCTCGCAATCACAGCCCTTGTCCTTGCCCTTGCCGTAGCTCTTGCCGCATGAGTCACACCACTCACGGTCGCCCTTGCCGACGCCGACGGGGGACCCAGAGCTGGCCTCGGCGCGATGGATGGAGACGTTGTGGCGGGTCAAGTCATGCTTGCGACTAAATGAGCGGCCACATGACTTGAATGTACAAGTGTACGGCTTCGCACGATTAGGGTCATGCGTTTGCATGTGCGTCTTGAGATTGAACGC